CTTCTTCTCTGCGTGTCCTGGGGTATGGGCTTTCATGCCCACGCGGCCTGCAGAAACGCACATATGTGAACCAGCGCTATGATATTACCTTGCAAGGGACTTTTTTTTTTTTTTTTTTTTCTGCTTTTCTTTCTTGGTTTACTACCGCTTTAAAGAAGGGGTGAAAATCTGATTTAAAGGCTAGGTCCACCTTTCTGTGTTTCATATGTAGGATGTAACATGAAACAGTCAGTCTGCAGCCCCCCCCCCCCCCCCTTCCCACCTTACTAAATCCAGGCATTCTTCTCTCTGAAGCTCCTCAATGGAGCCCAAGTGTAGTGACATTGCAGCACTTGTAGCCCACTGGTACTTCCTTTTGGTCCTGTAGCCGAAGGCCCATACCTCAGTGTGGACCTCGGCTGGCTGGAGGAATGACCTGCAGGGGTCTGTGCATTGTACCCATGATCCTCTGATTGTGGCTGCAGTGCTTTGCAGGATCCAGTGGTGGGGGGTGGGGGAAATGCACATTTTTCACATTAACGTGGTTTCATTATTTTTGCAAAAAGTAGAACTGACCTTTATTGCTCAGGCAGATTTAAGACAAGTAGTAATTTAGCTCTGTAATCATTTATACTTAATTGTGTTTTTTGTGCTAGCAATGGAAATACTTTGCTTGGTATTGCTATTGCAATTCGTAGGGACATCGCCACTGGACTTCCACCCCACCTAGCATCCCTCACATGGGGCCACTGGGGGACATTCCTCACACTGCATCATTTTCAACTTTGCTACCACTGAAGAGGTCACTAACGTGGCCTTTCATTATTTTCCATCCTACGCAAAAATCTCTCCCTCTTTACTGGTGAACCCTGACCTTTATTGAACAACCTTAGACCCATCTCCCCTGCTCCCATTCGCATCCAAACTCCTCGAGTGCTTAGTCCAGCAATGGGCTAACTGCGGGCCGTATATGGCCCGGCGGACCTTTTAATCCGGCCCGCGGAGCGTGGCAATTACATGTTGTGTAGGGGGGCATGAATTCCTCTCACAGTCCGCCCTGATAGGGGGGAACACGGCGAGAGGAAAGCGCGGAGCAAAGGTAAGTGAATTACTATTGGGGGGGGGGGGGGGGGATGAATTACTATGGGGGATAAATTAATATGGGGACTATAGGGGGGATGAATTACTATGGGGGATGAATTACTATATGGGGATTAATTACTTACTATGGGGGAATATTACTATACTTACTATGGATGACACATACACATCATTCATCTACTCTTGGTCCGGCCCCCGGGTCCAATATATGAACCCATTGCGGCCCTCAAGTCAAAAAGTTCCCACCCCTGGCTTAGTCTATAATTGCCTGAGTTCTCACCTCACCGACAACAACCTCCTTGACCCCTTACAGTCTGGATTCTGCCCCCTATACTCCACCGAACCTCCCTTCTCAAACTCCCCAACGACTTGCTAACCACCAAAGCTAATGGCCACTATTCAGTGCTCCTACTCCTCGACCTCTCTGCGGCTTTCGACACGGTTGACCACCCCCTCCTCCTCAAAAAAAAAAAAAAAAACTACACTCTCTTGGCCTCAGACTCCGCTCTCTCCCTGGCTCTCTTCCTATCTATCACAATGCTCCTTCAGTGTTGCCTATAATGCTGCCACCTCTCCCCTCTCTCCCCCTCTGTTTTGGTCCCCCAAGGTTCTGTCCTTGGGCCCCTTCTCTTCTCCATCTACACCTCCTCCCTTGACCAACTGATACACTCTCACAGCTTCAACTACCATCTCTATGCCGATGACACGCAAATTTCTCTCTCTACCCCTCACTTCACCCTGTCCGTCTCCGCCCAAATCTTTAGCCTACTGAATGACATATCGGATTGGATGTTACTCCACTTCCTCAAATTAAACCTTTTCCAAAACCGAGCTCCTAGTTTTTCCCCCAGCCCGCTCCCCCCCCCCCCCCCCCCCCCCCCCCCCCCCCCCCCCCCCCCCCCCCCCCCCCCCCCCCCCCCCCCCCACTTCTCAATCATCAACCAACAACGCCACCATCGGTCCCACCCCACAAGCCAGAGTACTAGGTGTCATCATAGACTTCAATCTGTCCTTCCAGCTCCAGGTCAAATCACTGACAAACTCATGTAGACTTCACCTCCGCAACATCTCCAAAATACGTCCGTCCCTAACCCCAGAAACCACAAAACAACTCATTCATTCCCTTATCATATCACGACTTGACTATTGTAACTCCCTCCTCCTTGGCCTACCTCACCACAGGCTATCCCTGCTTCAGTCTATCCTGAACACTGCGGCCAGACTCATCCACCTTACTAACCGCTCCGTATCCGCCACCCCCCTCTGTCATTCCCTCCACTGGCTTCCGATTGCCCAACGGATAAAGTTCAAAATGCTAACACTGACTTATAAAGCTGTTCATGACACTGCCCCTAACTACATCACTGACCTAATATCCAAATACCACCCAAAACGTACTCTCCGTTCCTCACAAGACCTACTCTCTAGTTCCCTGGTCTCCTCCTCCCATGCCAGTCTCCAGGGCTTCCCCCATCCTCTGGAACACCCTACCCCAATCCATCAGACTATCACCCTCTCTTCTCCTTCAGGCGCACCCTGAAAACCCATCTCTTCAGGGAAGCCTACCCCGCCCTGAGCTAATTGCCGATCTCCCCCACTCTTCCTACCACTCCATCCCCCACAGCTATTTCCTCCTGTACCACTATCTCCTCCCTCCTAGATTGTAAGCTCCAAAGAGCAGGGCCCTCTAACCCCTCATGTATTTGTTACTGTACTGTCTCCCATTGTAATGTACAGCGCTGAGCAAACTGTTGGCGCTATATAAATACTGTATAATAAAAATATAATATTGGTCTGCCTTGGTGTTAATCTACCTCCATCGCTAGCTGAGGGACGTAAGGCGATGGGCCTATTCACTTCTATGGGGCTCTGTTTACACAGGCACAGCCACGAGAAGTCAGACAACTAGCGGCGTGGGATGTAAACAATCCCTGGAGCCCACTGATGCCAGATCTCGGTAAATATGCATCTGTGAAGGGAGTTTCGGTTACGTCAGTTGAGGGGGGCAAATGGGGTGCGTTCACTTTAAGTGAATAAATCTGTAAAGTGAACCTCTTGAAAAACCACATGGAAACTGCCACTGCAGATGACTTCTGCAAATGCTGGCTGTCTTCGTGTTGTGATGACCCGCATGAGCCATTTTGCAGAACAAGTATGTAGATCAGGAAAATCAGAATTCCTTATGTGCATGTTCTGGGGAAGTGACTCAGTTTTGAACCCAGAGGGTCACCAGGACAGCCGGGCAACAAGCATTTACAGAATGAGAAGGCAGCAGTGGCCTTATGTGTTTTTCCCAGAAAAACTTTTTTTTTTTTTTTTTACGCACCAAACTTGCGTTCAGGAATAATTTTATCAGCGTTTCAAACGCTTGTAAACACTGCTAACCGCATTTATAAGCGTTTTGCATTTAGAAGCATTTTTTAACTGTTCCATGTCCAGATGCTGCCCAGAGCCTTTTTTCATCATAAGAAATGCATGCAAAGTGTTTTCCATGTATTCCAATGTATACAAATAGACCAGGTACACCAGTGCAGTCAGTACCAGGTTTTGCATGAAGGAAAAAATGGTAGAACGTGCCGCATTCTGCTCATGATGGGATCCATAGTGAATACAACCAGAAAAGACAGGTCATCTCCACACATACTGCTCTTTCTCTCAAAATGTCTGTAAATAGTTAATTTTTTACTGTTTTTCAGTGCATTCTGGGCATTTGGGAAGGTCTCATGAGGTTATCTTTAAAAAAAAAAAAAAAAAAAAAATCTTCCAAATGCAGTATGCAAACGTGGCTAAACAGCCGTTTTTAACCTACGTTTTCCAGCAGTTCGTTTCCATCGTTCAGAAGAGTTTTCCAAACGTCCCGTGTACATGAGCCCTTAGGCCTTCTTCACATGAGTGTAGTGTAGCCTACACCTGTACAAGGGCCATATTTGCCCGCACGGGTGGATGCACAAGTGTTCTATGCATCCCAGTGCAGGCAGTCCCATTCATGTCAATTGAGAGACAATGGCTGCAGACGCTGCTGCTTCCAATTTGACATCCATGGGCACCCATGTAAACTTCATGTCTTTAGGACCCGATGAAGGGCCCCTGAAACATGGTTGCTGTTCTATCTGATATTGCTATGTTTTTTGGACTCTTTTTATCTTTTGTTTTTGTGCTCCTGGTGAATTCCATATGCTTTGGGTCACTTGCGTTTTGTTACCCATTGGAAAGGATCCCTTGTTCTATGTGAGCAATCTTGCTGGAGCCAGTATGTGTAAGGAATAAATACCGAAGTCCCAGCACCACTTGGATAAGTCTCTTTAGGTCTCTGCCAGGCAAGTAACTGCCTTAGAGCAAGCATGTAGCCAGTGAAGTTTATAAAGTCTAACATCATGCACCTTGTTCCAGGTCAGCAACTTGCTTAGTAGTGAAGCCTGGATCATGATTGTATCTCTAGATCAGCCTTTCTCAAGCTTTTCAATGCAGAGGAACCCTTGACATAACTTTCTGGTCTCAGGGAACCCCTGCTGAAAATGACTATATCTACAATTCATGATACATTAGTGTGATGGTCAGAAGAAAGAATGCTCCTTACGGTTACCCCCCTTACAGATTGCTAAAATGTTCAATGGTGTCATTGGGAACTTTCCTGAGAGGCAAAAGTTGCTCAAGGAACCCCTAGTAACCTCTGGAGGAACCCTAGGGTCCCACGGAACCCTGGTTGAGAAACCCTGCTCTAGATCTTGACAAATGTAGCTAATGGCAGCCCCATGTTTCTATCTCCGAAACTTCCATTGTTCCCAGCGCTGGTAATTGGCCATGGCTTACTCCCCCTTTTTTTTCTTTTTTTTTTTTTTTTTTTTTAATAAAATAAGTGGAGAGTCTGTTTAATCCCCTATGCTTTACTATAAACAAATTTTTTTTCTTTTCATTTCCAGTGGCTCCTGATATACGAGAGAGGACTCTGGTTGCAGTGAAGCCAGATGGAGTACAACGGAGACTGGTTGGTGAGATTGTCAAGCGTTTTGAACAGCGTGGATTCAAACTCGTGGGCATGAAAATGTTGCAGGTATAATTTTTATTTATTTTTTTTTTTTTGTTGCTGTGCAGTGTGGTCACAAAGCCTTTAAAGCGGAGCTCCACCCAAAAGGGAAGTTCCGATTTATCAACTGCTCCCCATTAAGGATGGCATCTTTTGGGGGTCGGGGGGGGGGGGCGTGGACCCGAATTTGACAGGTACCCGCTCCCACTTATGGTCCGATCGCCTAGGTCAGTGGTGGGCAACCTTTTTTTTCTTCAACTGAGCCAAATCTCTCCAAAACCACGATTGAAATTTATTTTGAGAGCCACATTTTTAAAACTGAAAATACATAGGATGGTACACTGTTTTTAGTTTCAATAAGTTTTTATAGTTTTTATAGTAATTCATCCCCCATAGTAATTCATCCCCCCTATAGTAATTCATCCCTCATATAGTAGTAGTAAGTAAGTAGCAAGTAGTAAGCCAAGTCCCCCCTGTGTCAATTCACTTACCTTTGCTCCGCGCGTTCCTCTCGCCGTGTTCCCCGCGCCGTTCCGGTCTTCAGGGCGGACTGTGAGAGGAGCCTAGCTCCCCTCATGTTCGTCACGCTGCCCCGCCTACACACATCCTGACAGCCAATCACTAACTATCAGGATGTGAGTGGCAGCGAGACTGGCCAATCATTGCTGGGCTAGCTGCAGAGTCCTCGGCCGCCCGAAAGGAGGGAGGGGAGCGGGCGCCCGGCACACAGAAGAGCCGCATTAAAATGCGTAAAGAGCCGCATGTGGCTCGCGAGCCGCGGCTTGCCGACCACTGGCCTAGGTGACCGTAAGTGTAAGGTGTCCTGCCTGTAGTCTTTTGGGACACGTGACAGGTCCCAGAATACTACAGGACCATTCATGAAGCGTAGTGCTACTCGCGCATGCGCAGTGGGTATCCGGCTTTGAAGCCGCAACTGTCACAACCGGGTGCCCACACTGAAGATGCCGGCGCCTGGAACAGAGGACGGCTGTTTAAACAGGCTGCGGGACACACACCGAGGGACAGGTAAGTGGCTGTTTTTTTAAAAGTCAGCAGCTACAGTTTTTGTAGCTGCTGACTTTTATTTTTTGACAGGGTGAGTGGAACTCCGCTTTAAGCTCCATACACATGGTCCAAATATCAGGCGGTATCAGTCAGCCCAATAAAAACTGGCAGACATTCGGCCTTTGTGTACAGAAGCCAGTCTGTGCACCCTGCTATTGCATCGCATTACAAATCACAATAACGACTTGTTGTGATGCATGGTTTCACAAAAAGTAGGCCATGCCCTTCTTTTTTTTTTTTTTTTTTTTTTTTTTTGTCCCTTTCTAGCTAGCATTCTACCAAATGAATGAGTTGGCCTAACACAGCACACGTTAATGCAGGAAAGAATGTTCATCAGTGCACATGTTACCGCAGAGCAACAGTGTGAGCATAGGCTTTGTAATGTCTATAATGCTGAGAAAAGCAAAGATGAGAGATGTAGTTCTCCCTTTAACACCAATATTTATTATTCTAATTTATCATTTTGGACATTTTTTTTTTTTTTTTTTTTTCTTTAATTTTTAAACCTGAGCCTGGCAATTGTATCTGCTGACTTACTTGCATGCACACCTTTTATTGCATTGCCTTTTCATCCACCTGAACTGCAGTGCAATAAGCTGCCATAATATTGTTGGAGTTGACCAGGTCTTGTTGAACAACCCTTCAGATGTACGCTTTCTCTGTCTAGGCCTCAGAAGGAATTCTATCAGAACATTACCACGACCTAAGAAGAAAACCTTTCTATCAATCTCTTTTACGGTACATGGGCTCTGGACCTGTAGTAGCCATGGTAAGTATTCCTTTTACTTATAACCTGACTTTTATGGTTTAGGTTCAAGTCTTTTGTTTTCTGTACATATATCAAATCACAGGTGCATGTTGGGAGTTAAAACTTTAATCCGGTGTGTGAACTGCTGGAAGAGAAACAGTTGAAAAAGACCCAAGTGTTCCATCGAGTCATTTTTAAATTGTTAATGAGGTCTAAGTGAAGTTCTGTATAGTGGAATTAGAACCTCCCTCTTCCTACTGGTGATCCCTCTACTGATAACTAAAGATCGCTATAGGTGGTATAAGGACCTCTTTCCCTCCTCCTGTTGGTGATCCATCTAGTGCTAACTAAAGATCTATATATTGGGACCTTCTTAACCCTGCTAATGTTTTGGATGCGGTCACTTACCGACCACAGCTGTTGTGATCTACCAGTGAGCCTAATTAATGTGAGAATACGTGCACGTAGAAGTAAGACATTGGCACATAAATGCAGTTTGCCAACTTCCTAAAATTCTGTTTTATTGAGGAACTAACAGTAACATTTATAGGTCTCATGATGCAGGCAAAGCATATACATTGATTGGGTGATCCACTACACTGGTGATCCCTTTAGTGATGGCTAAAGATCTATATATGGGGAAATCAGGACCTCCCTAATGGCGATCCCTCGAATGATAAATAAAGGTCTATACAGTGCCTTGAAAAAGTATTCATATCCCTGGAAATTTTCCACATTTTGTCATGTTACAACAAAAACCATTAATCTATTTTATTGGTTTTATGTGATAGACCAACACAAAGTGGCACATAATTGTGAAGTGGAAGGAAAATGATAAATGTTTTTCAAAATTAAGAGTCCACCTGTGTGTAGTTTTTAATCTCCGTATAAATACAGCTGTTCTTTGAAGCCCTCAGAGGTTAGAGAACATTAATGAACAAACAGCATTATGGAGGCCAAGGAACACACCAAGACAGGTCAGGGATACAATTGTGGAGAAGTTGAAAGCAAGGATAGGTTTAAAAAGGGGGGGAAAAAAATCCCAAGCTTTGAACATCTCACAGAGCACTGTTCATTCCATCATCCGAAAATGGAAAGAGTATGGTACAACTGCAAACCTACCAAGACATGGCCGTCCACCTAAACTGACAGGCCGGGCAAGGAGAGCATTAATTAGAGAAGCAGCCAAGAGGCCCATGGTAACTCTGGAAGAGCTGCAGAGATCCACAGCTCAGGTGGGAGAATCTGTCCACAGGACAACTATTACCGTGTTCCCTGAAAACAAGACACTGTCTTATATTTTTTTTGGCTCCAAAAAAAAAAACACATTAGGTCTTATTTTCAGCGTAGGTCTTATTTTTTAAATGTCCAGGTGTGGACAGGGGGTGCAGAGGTGAGCTACAGGCAGTTGTGGATGAGGGTTACTATGGAGAGAGCTGGTTGATGACAGTTGTGAGCTGCAGTTATGTGTTGCAGGGGTGTCTTGACAGGTGAGGTTTCAGACAGGGTGCAGATATGAGCCACAGACAGGGTGAAGAGGGGTGCAGAGCTGAGCTGTGGCCAGGGGGTGCAGAGCTGAGCTGTGGCTGGAGGGTGCAAAGGTGGGTTGCAACTCAGCTCACCTCTGCACCCCACCAGTCGCAGCTCACCTATGCACCCTGTCTGCAACTCACCTGACTCAATTTACCTTCTGCAACACCTGACTGCAGCTCACCTTTGCACATCCCCCCCCCCCCCCCCTCCACCTCCACTGCCCTCATATGGTTAGCTAGCTTTGCAAAACACAGCTGTCAGCAGCCGGCCCCTCTCTATAGTAACTCCCGTTTCGGGTCCTATCTTCCCACACAGTGCACCAAGCGCACTTACTCACCGCTCCACCTCTTCCCCACTGGCCGGTGATCACCCCTGGGGCATCAGCTTCCATGCATTGGGTTGCAGGAGGAGATGCCCCACCCCTAAACACACTTCATACTGCACCCGCAGATATCTGTTCCTTCCCTGTCCCACAGTGAGGTAGGGAGGTTCTGTGGGAGCGGATGGGGAGTACAGAGGTAGGGAGGTTCTGTGGGAGCGGATGGTGCTGTCACTTCAGCCGCGCTTCTGTGTTTATAAGAGACAGTAGATATGGGTGTGCGCAGGGCCAGTGGCGGAATGGTGTTCCGCCATGTTCCAGCTGAAAAAAAGCCCAGATCACAACTAGGTCCTATTTTCGGGGTAGGTCTTATACTTTAGCAATTCCCAAAAATAGCACTAGGTCTTATTTTTGGGGTAGGTCTTATTTTAGGGGAAACAGGGTAGTCGTGCACTCCACAAATCTGGCCTTTATGGAAGAGTGGTAAGACGAGAGCCATTGTTGAAAGAGCCATAAGTCGTCCCATTTGCAGTTTAGTGAGAAGCCATGTGGGGATGCAGCAAATGTGGAAGAAGGGGCTCTGGTTAGATGAGAGCAAAATTAAACTTTGGCCTAAAAGCAAAACTCTATGTGTAGTGGAAAACGAACACTGCACATCACCCTGAACACAACAATCCCCACTGTGAAACATGGTGGTGGCAGCATCATGTTGTGGGGATTCTGTTCTTCAGCAGGGACAGTGAAGCTGCTTACAGCTGATGGGAAGATGGATGGAGCCAAATACAGGGCCTATGTGGAAGAAACCCTGTTAGTTTGCAAAAGACCTGAGACTGGGGTGGAGGTTCACCTTCCAGCAGGACAACGACCCAGCCAGAGTTACAATGGAATGGTTTAGATCAAAGCATATTCATGTGTTAGAATGGCCCAGTCAAAGTCCAGATCTAAATCCAATTGAGAATCTGTGGCAAGACTTGAAAATTGCTTTTCAGACACTTTCCATCCAATCTGACAGAGCTGGAGCTATTCTGCAAAGAAGAATGGGCAGAAATGTCCCTCTCTAGATGTGCAAAGCTGGTAGAGACATCCCCAAAAAAGACTTGCAGCGAAAAGGTCGATCTACAAAGTATTGACTCCGGGGGCTGAATACAAATGCACGTCACACTTGTAAAAATTTTTACAAATAAATATCTGAAAACAATTTATCATTTTCCTTCCACTTCACAATTATGTGCCACTTTGTGTTGGTCTGTCACATCAAATCCCAATAAAATACATTGACGTGTTTTGGTTGTAACATGACAAAATGTGGAAAATTTCAAGGGGTATGAATGCTTTTTCAAGGCACTGTATGTGGGGAATCAGGACCTCCTTCCTCCTATTGGTGACACCTCTAGTGATAACTAAAGATGTATTTATGGAGAATTGGTACCTTCTTCCTCCTGCTGGTGAATCCCTTTAACAATAACGAAAGATTGCTATAGGTGGAAATTCGAACCTCCTTCCTTCTACTGGTGTTCCCTTTTAGTGATTAAAGTTCTATATATGCGGAATCGGGGGGCCTCCTTCCTCCTGCTAGTGATCCCTCTAATGATAATTTAACCTCCTTAGCGGTTTTTCCCGAGTGTAGCTCGGGGTAAAATTTGAGTACCAAGAGCGGTAACCCCGAGCTACACTCGGGCTTACCATGTGGCGTTGCTCAGGGGGTCCCTGCAGCACTTACCTTGTCCTTCGCTCCCGCGATGTGTCCCCTGCAGCGTCCCCAGCCATCTCCTCCGGCCGATGCCGGCTTCCGTGTTCCGGTCCCTGTGACGTCGGGACGTACGGGCGCCAAAACCGCGTGAAATTTGAAATTTTTTAAAAAAATTCATTTTTGCTGTCATTGCTGTTTCAATGCATTTCACATATATTCTGTCCCTACTGCTTTGTCCTGTGCCCTGCCTGCATTTTGACTGTTCTTTCTGCCTGGAAACTTAGAAAAGTCCATGGCGTCCAAAAAGCGTCCCTTTACGTCAAAAGCGGTTTTAGAACAGCGATAGTAAATCAGAACCACTTGCAGAATTGAGTGATAATGATTTGTGGGGAAATTCGTCATCAGACACTGAAAATGATTTTGCGACTTTGCTCAGTGTTGTGCGAATTTTTGCCTCTGTATTTCAAATTTCAGTGTTTTTGGTTTGATTTATATTATTGAATTAAATGTATTATATTATATTATATTTTTTTTTATGATTATTTATTAAATTATAATTTGATTTCGTGTTTCAAGTTTTATCATATCCGGAATGTTTACTAGACTCTTGTTCGGACAGATTTCAGTGAGTTATTCCTAAAAATTTACAGCCTACAATAAAAAACCTACATATTTCCATGCAAAAAAAGGTACCGCTTTGAGCACAAAAAATCGGAAAGAATCATACCGCCGAGGAGGTTAAGATCTATTTAGAGGAATTGGGACCTTCTTAAATTATCAGAGGGATCACTAGCAGGAGGAAGGAGGTCCCGATTCCTCTAAATCGATCTTGAATTTTCATTAGAGGGATCACTAGCAAGATGATCTATTTAGAGGAATCGGGACATTCTTCATCCTGCTGGTGATCCCTCTAATGATTTTAAGAAGGTCCCGATTCCTCTAAATCTTAAATTATCATTAGAGGGATCACCAGCAGGATGAAGATCTAGAGTAATCGGGACCTTCTTCATCCTGCTGGTGATCCCTCTAATGATAGTTCAAGATCCATATACAGGAATAAGGCCTCCTCCTTCCTGCCGGTGACCCCTTTAGTGATAACTAAATATCTATATAGAGGATTCAGGTCCTCTTTCCTTCTGCTTTGACTCTTCACAGAAATTAGGTGGGAATAGGCAACTGAAAACAATAATGGATGTGGTAATCTAGGCCTAATATTTTCACTACAGGTCTGGGAAGGGTGCAATGTTGTGCAGACTTCCCGCTTCATGGTGGGTGAGACAGATGCTTCACTAGCTAAGCCAGGCACTGTGCGTGGAGACTTCAGCATCCATATCAGCAGGTGAGGACCACGTTATCTCTGGAATATGTAGCACTGGTAATACTTGGCTTGTTGATTCTAGAGTGGTTCCCATTGTTGAATTTCTT